TTATGATGGTTGATGGTATGTGAAAACTGGAAGAATTGTATGGTAGGGGTGGGTAGTAACTCAGTTTTCCTGGGGACACCTGGCAATTACCAGACAAACAGCTTGCATTGTTAGTTATTGGTTTGTTGCTGGTCTCTGATTTCGTCATTGTGAATTCTTGCAATTACTACCAACTTGCAACTTTCTTTATTCTTCTGTGCGTTATATATATATATATATATATATATAATGATTAGGGTGGATCAATGAGATCGGTTTGTAACCTGGCACAGTCATTGGATTTTGATCTGAAATTTTCACTCTATGAAATTTGACTTGTAATTGTTATAAAAAAAATGCTTTTTTCATCTTTACTGATGTACTTATATGTGAAGATTTTATATATATATATATATATATATATATATATATATATATATATATATATGTGTGTGTGTGTGTGCGAGAGAAAGAGAAGGCATAGTGGAGTAATAAATAGCAATTGGCTCTGGTTGAGGAATTGGAGTGTTGAGTTCAAATCCCAGTCAACCTTATTACATTCACATATGTACTAATAACATTGGGAAAGGTATGAATCCCTCTCTTCCCCACCTAGCTATGTGCAAAATAGCAGGATAGGTTGAGGTTTATAGCATTGGGTGGCAACTTGTTTAAGTGAAGGACAACTCTGAATTTAAAATCTGAGGAGGATTGTTTGGAGACTTTGTGTCATGCTGCACACCAGCTCTCAGTATTCGACTTTTCTGAAATGTGTGTTCAGTTCTACACAAACCTTCACCACTATAATTAAATCATGTGCAGGTAGTCTGACTGGTCAGTTCTAAGCTGCTGGACCTTCATACATCAAATAATGATGGGATATATATATATATATATATATATATATTCAGGCCAGTAGACAAAAATAAATAAATATACTGTTTAATAAATAAAGTAAACAGAGCATCTACTGAAATATGAATATTCACTAAAAATAACATTTAAGTATAATAAATATATATATATATATATATATATATATATATATATATAGTATGCTCAAAGCTATTGACTAAGAAGGATTCCCAAAATATTTGTGTGTTTGATCACTTGGTTAGATTTGAAGATGTTGGTAGGGCCAATATCTTTTAAGCCCCCCCACCTCATTTTATAAAATGCAATATCTATCCATTTGTGTGTGTGTATGTGTATATAACAGCTTTATAATGCATAGATACTTGATTGATCATAGGCAGAAGTGCCAGGAAATTATAGTTTGATTTAAAGTAAACTGCACAGATGCTTTGGTTCAAGTGGTGATCAGTATGTAAATCATCTTGTCATATTTTTATGGGTAATATGCTTTGTTTTGTGTGTGTGTGTGTGTGTGTGTGTGATCAACCATTTTTAATATTCAACAGAATTCTTGCCATAGAGATGTTGTCTATGTAATAGTTTTCATTGTTTGATTTCATTTCTTTCTTACTAGGTTTTCTAGCTGTGAGACTTTGTGCTTAGTCCATTAAAAAAACATTTAAAATATTGTAGACATATCATTTTGTTCTTAATTTCCTTGTTACATATTAAGTGGTTTTCCTGGTTTTTATAATTTTTTTTTATCATTTTACACCACCCAAGATGCAAGTGGTTACTGGGAATGAAAGAGAATGAGAAAACCTTAGTGAGAAGAAAGAACGATAAAAGCTTGCCAGGTGACCAAATGAAAGCTTAACAAAAGACTAAAAATAAATCCCCCCCCAACCCCCAAAAGTTGCAAGAGAACAGAAAAATGAAACATAAACTAAGATGAAAAGACCAAAAGTCAGACACCTACCTAAAAGTGCTCTATACCTATGTTATCAAAACAGAGCAAAAACACTTCTCTATATAGGTTTAATACAAATATAAAATGTATCACTTGATTAATGTTGCATTATGTGTCGTCTTCAATTCTTCAAATCCTTTGTGCTACATCATAGACTGCATCAACAACAGACAATTTTTTTTTTTATTTTACTTTATTTCATGATAGACAGCAATCATAGCATTGTTTCTAGACAGGAGAAAGACAGACATGATGCATGACAACTGGTTGGTCAAAATCTCATTGCCACATGCTGCCCTCTGTATGTAGCAAGGCATCATGACCTTTCTAATTTTTTCAGCCATCTAAGTGTCTCTGTGTACTTTAACCACCCCCACTAAATTCAGATGATCAAAGTTCTAACCAGTAGTTTGCCATTCTGGGCCAAATGACTATGCATTCTGTAACTACATACACACACATATACTCACATTTGAACATAAAACTATTTATCAAAACAACAGACTTCAACATTGAAAAAGGTTGATATGCTATAAAAGAAACCAAACAAAATTTATTTCAATTATATAGGGTGATTCGAAAGTCTTGTCATCCCTACATAATATAATTTTCTATTTCAGATGGCTGACATAAACTCCTACAGTGTGACAACATCAATGAAATTGAATAAACTGAATCCAATACATGTGCTTTATATTACATGTTCTTGTAGTGTTCTCATTCCATTTTGGTAGATGGTGACAAGACTTTCGGACCTACCTGTAGTTTGAAGTTTGACATTTTTAAAAAGAATTTGACAGGAAAATTACAATGAAAAGTTTGAATATTTAAACATAGACAGTCTTAGATATATTTTTCTTGCTTGCACCAAAATATACCTTATTAAAGAATACTATTTAATTAGGAGTAAATAGGTTTGCCTATCGTTCGGTTCACACTCTTCCCTGGTCTGTAGAACAGGTGTAAAGGTTTATCCTTTGTTTCCTGTCTAGGATTGGGTTTCTGGTTCCTTCTATAGTATCATTCAGCTCTGTATTCCTAATGCTTGTATTTTCTTATGCTAATCTTACACAACTCCACACAGTACCCCTCTACCTTGAGTGGATCTTGAGCCTTGTATTGGGTTAACATTAGTAAATCTGCAGGGAGCATAATTTTTCATTTTGAACAAATTTGAAACATTGCATACTTTTCTGAAGCACTAAACCATGTTGAGGTGCAGTGGGGGGGGGCTTAATTCCTACATGTAATTGCAGCTTAAAGCACATTCAGAAATTATTGCAAAGTTGATTTTAAGTGTTCAGAAATTAACAATAAAATAATGCTCTGTACATAGTTCTCGGCTTGAAAAGAATAAAATGTTTGCAGTAAATCAAATTTTTATTATTTACAATTCTTATTATAAAAACCATTTAAATTTCCCTACTTAATTTGTACTGTAGCTCTTAGTAATTTGTAAAAAAAAAAAAAAAAATGCTAATGTTTCATTTACTTAAGAGTTTGGATGAAGAAAAATGGTGATTGCCAAACTGTGCCCTGCTTTATTGATATTTATCAAACTGACTTCAGGCAAGTATCCAGTCAGGATGAAACTCTCTTTAATAGTATGTGACTAATGACCTTGCTAATCACTACTCAATAACCATTTGTCTATTTATTAAGAGTAGCTTAGCTCATTGGTTCTTGGAGTTCTAGTTGATGTCCTCTTTCAATTCTGCTAATTTTACCACAAGAAAGCCATGTTTTTTCAGCAGAATAATTCCTACCCGTAGGCTGCCTGTGCTATTTAACATGTTCTGCAGCTTCCTTGGCTTGTACGATTGGCAAATTTCTCTCTCATTGAACATGTATGAGATGACACCTGACTCTTTCAGTTAGCTCACTTACAAATCTTGTATTGTGCAAGAGATGTTAAACAATATATTGCAGGATGGTTTAAGGATTTGCCACATGTACAATCATATGTAAGCGAGAGTACAGGTCTGTTTCCAAGGAACATATGCAGTGTATTAATATTGAGTTTAATTACTATTATTATTACACCTCTTACTTTGGAACACATGAATGTATTGTTCTGTATATATGATTCTTTAATGAATCAACTGAATTGTCTATATTGGAAAACACAAATTCATAGTACTACAATTTTATTTTTTGTCATGAGGTGTGTGTATGTAAGTACACACACACACACACACACACATATTATATATATATATATATATATATATATATATATATATATTTATATATATATAAAAAACAGAATTCCCCCAAAATTGACATAATTTAAAATGAGATATTCAAAGGAATGTGGGTTTTATAACTGATTTCACAAAGCTTCACAAATGTTCAATATGTGTAGCAACTGTGAAACACATCAAGTCAGTAGTCCAGCTTCTGCCAAACAGGCTGTAACATGTTTTGTGTAACATGTTTTGTGTAACATTCTCCAGTACCTGAGTGATTTTCTGTTTAATTTCCTCTAGGATTGTAGGAAGAGGGGATACAGACCTGTCTTTTCACATAGTCCTATAGAAATGAATCACAAGGTGAACATGGTGGCCATTTCAACAGTACATTGCCATTATCACTGACCTGCCTAAATCTATCTTCCTGATAGATTCTCATTGAGATAAGTGTGTACAGTCTACTTAGTTTTTACACATTTTGTTAAAATTTGAGATCATTTGAGCGAGAATTAACTATGTTATTAGACTACAAAATGATGTCAATTTTTGGGGGACATCCTGCATAATGTGAATGTCTGTCTATATGTGTAGCCATTTATGTTTTGAGCATTTCATGAATCCTCATAGATATAATATCTGATGTTTGATCATTTGGTCAGATTTGAACCAGGCCAAGAACTTTGCAGTAACATTCTTGTAAATAATCTTTTAGTTATTCAAAAATCATGCCTAGCACCAAAAGAAAAAATATCAAGAAGTCAACACTCCTTTTTTTTTATGTCATGCAAAAAGTATCTAATTACTGACTCAGTTTTTAGAAACCCTTCATTCCTACTCCATTGTGGAAACCACATCCTTTTATTCTTCTGTTTGTTCTGAGAATATAACTTAACTCTTGCAACTGGCAGCAAACAAATTGTATATTGTGTTTAATAAGGTTTTGTATTTATTCTAGAAAGTTATTTTTTTTAATCCTCTGCAAAGAGACATTTGATACAAATCATATGTCTTTCTTTTGTTTAAGTTAAAATGTGTATTGTATAGTTATTTCCAAATCAACATACAGACAATGACCAAACATAATGTCTACTAGACACACACATATACATTATCATCTGAATCCCACATAGACAAATTATGATACACTTACATGCATATGACAATGTCTGTTTTTTCAGTTAGGCTTGGAATTTGTTAATTTCTTGGAGCTTCAATAGAATGTGTGATCTAACTTGAATTTAGAACACAATAAATTATATTAATGTTGTTTTAACTGGTTAAATGTACATGAAGCCTGATTAACCAGCAAAAATCAAATAATACAAAACTAAAAATACTAGAATTTCTATTATTTTTTTTCCTTCATATCTCATTCTCTGATGAAGGCTTTAATAAAAGTGAAACATATTAGATTGATAAATGTTTTCTATTTTATTCTTTATCCTATCATAGTTATTTAAAGATTAAAATAAAAGAAAAACATTAAAAATACTCCTCGCAGGAATGATTTTAATGCTTTTGTATTTCATGGGAGTGCTATAAATAAAAATAGAAGTTAATACAATTAGTCATTACTTGTACAAATTCCATTGATTCAACTTTTTTATCAGTGATCTTCTCATCACCCTCCTTATATTGAAATGTGCAACCCTCAACACAAAATGATATTGATATATTTCAACATTTACTGATCTGCAAAACCAACATCAAAATATTTATCAATCTCTAGTACTTTGCGTCTCTATCTATAAAAGGCAGGATGTGTGTGTGTGTGTGTGTGTAACGAATGCACTGCCACAATTTTCGATGGATTTGCACCAAGATTTACATGCACATACTCCAAGTTAGCGGGAAGGCCAAGACTGACTTTGCATTTCCCAACTCCCATCGATAGTGGAAATAATTGATTTTTTTTCATGCTTCTACAGCAGTTTTCATGTAGTTTGTGGCCATTTTGTACTGGCCAGAGTGAGAGCCAATAACTGGTTGCCACGAATAGGCAGGAAGATTCTATTGGCCAGTGTGAGAGCCAACAGCTGACTGACATGAATGTTAACTAGCATGCTAGCATGCCAAAAAAAATCAATAGCTGTATTCATCACAAGTGGGAAAAATTTAAATCTGCATGGCACTTTACTCCAATTGGCTCATTCGCTTGCTTAAACTCAATGTTGATTCTGATTCTGAAGAACTGGGTTGGGTGTGAAAAGTATTTGTTGTTACCATCCTTTTTTCATTTGGTTTTTCCAGTTACGAGTCCTTTCTTAAAGCTGATCGTTTTGTGTTCATTTTGTTTAGTTCTTTTTTCGTAACAGATTTAATGTTTAGTATAGAGCTTAGAAAAAGTTCGCAGTGTGAGATAGGCAAGAAATAAGGCATGTAGCAACATCAGCACAGCAAAGGGCACTCCTTTAAGTCAAGTGATAGCGATTGCTGTATGAGTTGTACAATTTTTGAATCAAGCACGGTCAACACCGGGCCATGTTGCTAGTTATTAATATTACTTCCTTTTCCTTTGAATTCTTTTTCGAATCCTCTCAATTGCAGTATCCTTGTTGTTAATTTCACTTAGTTGTTTTCTGTTGATATAACAGGATATGACAACACAAATATGAAATTCAAACCCATTATTATTCAAGCTTCGGAGTCACCTTCAGTGACAGGATAAATGAAGTGACATGCAGAATGATAAAGGTTAATAATTGTACTGTTCTGTGTTTCTTCTGAACTTCTTTTTTTTCTTTTGCAGCCCTAGTGATACAATTTGTGTGTCATCGATTCCTGGAATACCACGATCCAACTATTGGTGAGTTTCCAGAATATTTAAAATATTTTAATATCTAAAATTTGTTTGCTCATAAATGAAAATTTACATTTTTGTGTGTAAAGTGACTTAAATAAAGTCTCGTTATTGCTTTTTAACAAAGAAAAGAGTGCTCAACTTTTATGCAATATCAGTCCTCCTGTATATCAGTGAATGCTAAACAATCTCCTCGCAGATGAAGAGATTTGAAGCCACAGAAATGTCATTCCACAGAAGAATGCTGAGAATACCATAGACCAAACATTTAAGCCACAACAAAGTTCTAGAAACAATGGAAACAAAAAGGACAATTATACTTAATATCACAAAAAGATAATTGAAATTTCCAGGAAAAAGGGCTTGTAAAATTTGATACTCACAAGACATATTGAAGGCAAGAGGGACAGAGGAAAACAATGCATAACCTACCTGGTGAGTTTGTGTGAATGGATGACAGAGAAGGGTTTGGGAGAGATAGCAAAAAGATAAAAATTTATTAAGAGTTACAAAGCCAGGAAGTTGTAGAGAACCATGATCATCTACATTCTGAAGGTACATGGTGCATAGAAGAATTTTAAAAGGAGGCTTAGAGCCATATCACATTGAAACACTGGTTCTTGTCTGATCGCTGAAGTTAGGCAATTTGGAGCCTGGTTAGTCACTAGATTGGTGACTGTTTGGGAATACCAGTTGGTGTGATGGATAATGACTCGGTATGAGAAACCAGAGAACCAAGTTTGAATTCTGGTTGAGTTTGTTACATTCACTTAGAAAAGTATGAATCTAGTTTTTTTTTCCTCCAGCTATGGGTTAAACAGCAGGACAGACTGGGTCCTTTAACTTGGGTTGGCAACCAGTCTACTGCAGAAGGTAATGGCATGGCAGCTTATTGTGGAAATTCTTCTACCAAGTCAGTCATGTATCAAAACGAGATATGATCACCCAGGCATGTATCACACATGGCATCTAAGGAAGAAAGGAAGAACTTTTAAAAGATGCTAGCAGAGATACCCATCAATCCCCAGAGTGGACGAATAACTTCAAATATAACAATTGAAAAATGTTCTTCATTTACTTCTCCTTGCACAACAAATGACAAAAGATTATTTACTTTGTTTATACATGAATAAGTAAGTATTACTGAATAAAAAAAATTATGATGTATGAAGCAAAAATGATATAGTTCCTTAGCTTGATTATGCATCTGGCAACACAATAGTGGAGCTTCTCCCATTGTGTACCAGTATGAAAATGTTGTTTGAGGGGGAGGGGATCTCAATTGATCTAAGAAAACCAGTATAGAGCTGACCACGGGAATGGTTAAGGTCAAGACAAAGTTAAATTCAAATGGTACGTCTGCCAGAATTATGGAGATTCTGGGTTCCTCTTTTTCATCTACCCAGCTAGAATTTTTTTAATCAAATTTATTACAAACAAGAGAGTAAAGCCACTAAGATGCAAACAGAAAATATTACTAAGGAGTGAGATTAATAGAAGAGTAATCAGAAAAACAGTAGATTGTCATGGCATTTAAATATTTTACTATCAAAATTGTTTGGAAAGTGTGAAGCCAGAAGATAGTTCCACAAATGAGAAGTGCAAAAAAAGAAATTGCTAGCATAGAATTTAGTTATTTACTAGCCAATCTAGTAAATTGATGAGACCTTGTTGCCAGTTTAGTACTGTGGTTAAATTAAAATGTAGGGACCAAAGTGAAGAGCTCATCCAAACAATTACCATGAAAGTATTTACAGAAAAGCACAAGGAAGCAACTTTATGGTGGTGGAAAAGTGACTGATGCTGTGATGCCATATCAGGACCAGTGATATTGCTGATTCTTCTTTGGATTTTATCAAAAATCTCTAAATAAATAGCAGAATCACTGGACCATATGTGGCAGCAATATTGTAAGCATGGATGAATGGTACACTTATAGATATGTAAGATAGATTCTGAAGAGAAAACTTGTCTAGCATGACACAGTGAACTAACTTTCTTAGCAGCTGACTTAGCAATGAATTCAATGTAGTGTTTCCATTTACTGTCAGCTGAGAAAGTCTGAGAAGGCACAATGAGATTGGAGATTAGCATCAGCCATTCAGATGGGAGGCAGAAAGGGATCTCTCAGATGATTAATAGCTAGCAGTTTTGTTTTAGAGGCATTAAAATTAACAAGTCATTCTTTGCCCTGGTTAACAACAGACTATGTTGTTTCTCAAAAATGTACAAGAGATACTATTTAATAACTGGGCAAGTTTCATTGCAAAACTTTGGATGATTAGGATCATTGAGAATCATAATGGGCATCCAAACCTTTAGTTGAAGCCTGTAAGGAAATACACCAGGCAGCTCAAGAATGGTGAGAAATTCAGTTGGTTGATTCCATTGATTTGTAGAGTTGAAACTCTTCAAAAATTTGTTGCAACAGTTTTGAATTCATTTCTTTCACTGCATCACACAATATCTCTTCAAAATATTGAATGATTTCTGCTTTTACTTGTACCAGGAAGTGTTTCTAAAATAAGCCTTGTTTCTTTCTTGTTTGTTTTTGCAGAGGATGCTTACCAAAAACAAGCTCGTATTGATGGAGAACCAGCACAGCTTGACATTCTGGATACTGCAGGACAGGTGAGGTTGCAGACTTACAAGGGTGGATCAATAAATCCATAATCTGATACTCAGTTATTAGCTAATCCAAAAGTTTTACTATTTAGTCTGTAATGGCAGAGAATTTCCAATTTAAGGTTTCTAAAATTTTTTCACTGATTGATCAACTTCTACCCCAAACCATAGTTTGAATCTTGTTTACATCAGTGTGAACAAAACTGGCAAAAGCCCAGTGTACATTCAACCAAGAAATGGAAAGTGAGATATTACACAAGGAGAAAAGTCTCAATTTTGATGAGAAAGACAAGAAGCCTGTTGGTTCAGATAAACAAGGTTCTTTGATCATGGATCAGATCATGTCACATTCTCGGGGTAGGTAAGTGATACTTGGGACATCTCCGATGTTATTTCTGTCTTCTCACATGACTGACTAATGAACGAGATCTTCCCTTTGACCACTGAGAACTTTGTCTCATGCCATCTCTGTATGACCTTACATTTCTCATGACTTACTCTCCCAATTTAGAATGTGACTTGATTATATAAGCCCATGACTGGGCACTCTGACATGGGGGTAATGGTTAGCAAACTTGCCTTACTAGATCAATTACAACTGAGTAGTGAGTTCAATACTTACTGGGTACTCAACACTTAACTTGTGTCACATTGAAGCTACATATAGAAAATCCCTATATAAGCCCATAACTGGAATTCACTGCTTTCTGACCAAGTGTTACTTGATCCCAAAAGTTTTTATTTTTCATAATTCTGGATAGCAGGTGATTGCTAAGAAATTCTCACAGATCGATTTTACTATTGGTTGTCATAAAAAGTGCCGGTCACTCCTGTCTCGGATAAAATCATTTACAATTCATTTGACCAATCAAGTGGGTACCCATTATGTCACATTTTATGTTATCTTAAGTTCAGTAAAATAAAATGATTGGTCAATATTTAACTGACAGTCTTTATTCTAAAATCTAATTAGTCACTCTGTGGATTAATTTGTACTTTAAAGTATTCCTCAAATACATTAATTTTCTTATGTTCTTGTGATTTATTAACTTTTTATGACTTTTAAAAAGTAAAGAAGTAAAGTAAAGAATCTTGACTAAAAATAAATTTTGAAAAATTGTCAGAATCATATAATGAATACTAAATTTTATTTTCAGCCGGAATTTACAGCCATGCGAGAACAATATATGCGCAAAGGGGAAGGATTCATTATTTGCTATTCGATTACTGACCGTCGGAGTTTTGAGGAAGCCATCACATATAAAAACTTGATAGACAGAGTACGGAATCGGGAAGACATTCCTATTGTGATAGTTGGAAACAAATGTGACCTGGAACATATGCGTAAGGTGAGTTACTGAATTTACTGTTCCTCCATCTAAGATGTAAAAACAATTCATTCAATCATATTTGCATATTATTATCATTTGTCCATCACAGTTGAGATCATTCAGTCAATGCAAATGATCCTTTCATTTAGCTGCATAGTATGTGCTATGCCAGGGCTGCATACAGTTTTAAATTCAGAGTTACTTTCTCCTAGATCGGTTGCCACCCAAGGTTAAAGAACCTAGTCTGTCCTGCTATTTACCCATAGCTGAGGGGAGAAGAGGATTCATACCTATCCCAAGGGTATTAACACATAAGTGAATGTAATGGATCCAACTGGAATTCAAACTCAACTCTTCGATTCCTCAGTCTGAGCTGCTATCCATTACTCCACCATGCATATTATTCAGGGTGTTCCAAAAGTTGCATTACCATTGATAATCTTGTAAATTTTATATTTATTTACTAAATGGAATCGTGTTTCTGTATGTAACAATATATTAAGAAATTTTATTGGTTGAATTATGGAAGATAATGCCATGCAAATTTTCTCTGGTTGCTATATCACAAGTGTGTTTTCTGCCAGTTGTCATGCAACTTTTGGAACACCCTGTAGATTTTGTCTGCATCTAAATTGACTGATTTAGTTGCAAAAGCATAAAAAAAATTCAACAACTAAAGATGCAAATAATACATAGGAATATTTATCTTTTGTTAATCAAATCTTTTAATATTTTTAATCAATTTTTTTTTAAATTATTTAACTTGATTTATCTTCCTAAAAAATAAAAGGTTAAATAAATCTACACATATTTTTCTAATTTTATCTAATTTTATTGAAATTATCATGTTGTATTTATATACATTAGCAATTACTAGTTTCACTTTATCTTCTCATCATTGTTGTATTTTATCACAACACTCTGGATCAGTACACTAGAATACTGCCTTCCCCCAACTATAGGTTAAATAGCAAGAAGTGTATCAGAAAAAAATCATTATTCTCAATAAATTGTTAATATAATATTCACTCCTAAAAAAAAAAAAAAATAAATTATTCTTACAATCATCATTGTATTTTAGTAGTTTTTGAACCCAGAAAATGTAGATATTTCACCTGTCTTTTTTTTTTTTTATTGCTACCCACTGACTTTACTGCTACTCATCATTTTTAGTCATGTTTTTCACAAACAGGATAAATATTTCTGAGAGTAAAAAGAAAAACTGCATGATTTTTTTTTTTTTTTTTTTTTTTTAATCATTTCACCCCAAGCCACTAAGACACAAGGGGGGTTACTGAGATTGAAAGAAACTGACAAAACATTTAGCAGAAAGGACAAGAAAAGAACAGGATTCAAAAAGACAGAAAATGACAATTGACCTTGGATTTAAGTTTTTGAAGATTGTAATTGACAGGAAAGCAAGAGATCAGAAGAGTTCCACAGACAAGAATTACAAGAGAAAAACTGTTATTAAAAAAAATTAAACTTTTGGTAGTCGATTGGTATTCTGTACATTGAAAAACGGGAAAAAGATTCACTGGTCAGGAATCAAGGCAAGAAAATATTTAACTATCAAAAATATTTACCATTGTCTATTATTATAAATACATAACATTTATTTTCTATTCAAAGTTGGAAATATTTTCTTCTAACCAATCCCATTTGCTGAGGTTGTTGTGTGAATTCAGCAGTATAATGATGATTATTATTAAGATATATATTCTTTAACAAAAGGAAATGCATTGTTTGTCCTACCCTTAATTCAAGTAGGCCTTAATAGTAAAGTGTTGTGAAAAAGAAGTGGCCCAAGAGAACTAAAGAGTTGTTTATGAAGTCAAAAATCATTTTGGGGATGAATCACAAGTTCAAATTGCTGCATGAACTGGGGAAGACTATCTTACAAAATGATTAAAAAAATGGTTTTCATTAATTTCTGCAGTATTTACAAATAATAGCGTATATATATATATATATATATATATATTAATTTTAAATACTATGGATTCAATCATAGTTGCCAGACAGGTGAAAAGATAAAGGAGGTGGGTGGTTGAATCCTTGCATTTCTAGATGGAAATCAAACCAATGTTGATATAAGTTGATTGATTCATTTTTTATGACTTATCAACCCTTTGTGAGTTATTTAAAGCCAAAACATTTTTAATTGTAAGAATACTTTTTTTCTTTCTTTTTTTTTTTTTGCAAGTGAATATTTCATTAACAATTTTTTGGGAGACTAACAATGATTTTCTTGATCCAAGTCCAACTATTTAACCTAGAGCTGAGGAGGAGGAGATGGATTCATACCTTTTTTCCAAAGGTATAGTGTGTAAGTGAATGTAACAAAACTGACAGGAATTCAAACTTGGCTATCTGATTTCTCATTACGGGTCACTACCCATACATATGTAGATATAGGTAATGTTGAATGAATTATATACATGCTTAATGGAACCTGCAGATGAAATCAGTATTAAATTATTAAGCATATATAATTTAAAAAGAAAAAACAGTTAATAATAAAGTATTAGAGATTTATTTAAAACTCAACGGCTTTCAAAAATGTATTCATCAGTTTGGATATTAATTTTTAAAGCTGTCTTTTTTATATATCAATAAAAAGATTAATTTTTGATGAAATCAACTTATGCAGTAACAATTCACTTTTACTATTATAATGATATAGCAAGAGCATTGATTTCAGCTCTGTTTCCTGGGTCATATAATCACAACTTACTAGTGATTCAATTTCAAAATTACAATCATTGATATTTAAAAGTTACTCATATTTTTTTTCATTAAAATTGTAATCTTCTTCAGTAATCAATGAATAAGTACTGAAAACGTTATTAAGTTTTAAGTAGTGAAATATTAGTACAGTACCGTGCAAGAGTCTACAACCACTTGAAACAATTGTAAATCTTTAATAATTGCCAGTTTATGTTGAGGTTTTACATTGTCTATATTTCAGAGGTCAATTCGCAGCTTTCTTTCTCATTCAGAGCCCCTGCTACAAAATATGATAATTAGGTATAGAAATGGCTCCAATAGGGTGAATGTCTCATTTGTAGAAACTCGATGCCAAACACCCAATTATAAGTTGGATATTATTAGAAATTTACAATAGCTTAAAGTGGACAAAAATTTTGAACAATGCACACACACACCCGTTTCATTAAAGACGACAGACAAGGTACTGCAATTAAGCTTTTAATTTAATTTTTCTTGTGTTTTCTTTTCTGGACGCAAAGTGTGTAGAAACTGTCCAAATGTTCTGTAATTCCAAGCGCTTTTGGCTATACTTTTAGTCATTATCAAGGATGGTTTTATTTTTACTTTTTAACTGGATGTATGGGTTGTGCGTATGTATCTGGAGTTATAGGGATATTTTATTTTCAAAACACAGTCAGCACCTTGTGGCCATGTTTGTAGTTAGTATTATTGAATGTTGGCTTTTTCTTTTTATTAAAACTTCCATTATTTTTAATCTTTTTTTTATATGTGGATGATGTTATTATGCTTGTATTTTCTACTAGTATGTTTCAGATGAAGTCTGGTAGGTTTGTGTGTGTGTATGTGTTTAAATAGTCACCAGTTTTGATGAGAGCTGTCATGCTGGTATAGCCAAAAATACTGATGTGAACCATGGAGAAGATTGAGGCTTCACCTGGTATTTCTGAAAAGGTATGAAAATGTCCATGCTGGCTTTGACCCAGGAAGAAACCTCAGTGGTGCAATTTTCAATTGGGAGGTTAAAGATGTCAGTCCAAGAAGCATTACAAAGAAAATCCAGGTGTGAGTCCCAATCAGCATGCTGGTAATGGAACAGGGTTTTATGGATTGAGCATTCCTGTTTAATAGATGATTGGAATGACATATCAATGGATATCACTGAGTGGTCCAAGTTACCAAGAAGGCAGAGTTGCAAAGCTTAACAAAGAGAGGTGAGAAATGAATTGAGATGCCTGTTGCTCAGTTTTGCTAGGGAAACAAGTAGGGAAGTCCACGATTTGAGTAAGGGAATGGACAATGGAAAAATTTAATGTCTGAATACAGGCAACATCAGTACCTTTTAGAATGTTTAAGGTACATATCGTGGTGAGCATTAAAGTCACTGAAGACAAAGATGTTTGCAGATGAATGGAGAGAATCTTTTCTATACTGTTAGCTATTATGTCTAATATACTGCAGTTGTGGGAGGAGGGGTAGCGATAAAGGAAAAAGAGAGAGCTAACAGACTTTAATAACGAAAGAAGGAAGCACATGAAAGAGTAGTCATGGGCTTCAAGAGACAATTCCTTGGCCATTGAAAGATTATCTTGAATGTAGACACCAAATGCTGGAATCTTTTCGGCAGAGGGGAAGATAGCCTGGAAGCAAGAATTCATTGGTAGCAATGGAAGAATTTGAGTTGGTTTCACACAGGGCAAAGATATCTGGTGACTGTTGTAAGAAAAAAGATTCTACACTGCAGAAATTGGAACAGATACTCTGAATATTGCAGAAAGATAAGTTGATGGGGTAGGTAGTTTTTTTTCTTTAGTCATATTTCTTTTTCTTGTGTTTTCCATGAGATTCATTTGAAGGAGAGAGAACAAAGATCACTATAATTGTCACTATCTGTCATCAGTGGTAATACAAACCAGCCAAAGTAAGACTGAGATCAGAGCATAATGTGGCCTCAGGGTTGGTCACCGGAAATACATACAGTGACACCTATCCATGTGTGACATGGAACTACAGATACCCTGTTATTATGCGACTGTTGATCAGGGCAGCCTCTCTAAGTGCTACCAAAATGTTCGGACTTCTAACGGCCAGTCAGAAACAGCAGCCAGCAAACTACCAACCTGGTATCCTCATAATGGAAAGTCACAGCCATTGGTTAATCTGATCACGGTTAAGAGTTAAATTATTGTGGCCCTGAAAAAAGAGAACCGGTAAAACATATCCTGAACAGGGAACAAAGGATGAACCTCTCCTCCTGTTCAATAGACATGAAAGTAGTGTGGGCTGGA